TACCTGTGCTTTATTGACTATGCAAAGGCTTTCGATTGTGTGGATCATGACAAGCGATGGACAACATTGTGAAGTACGAGTATTCCGGAACACTTAATTGTGCTCATAAGGCATCTGTACCTGGACCAAGAAGCAGTTGTTGAACAGAAGATGGGAATGCTAGTTTAAAATTTAAAAAGGTGTGCAACAAGATTGTATTCTTTCACCTACTTATTCAACCTGTATGCTGAGCAAATCATCAGAGTAGCTGGGTTATATGAAGAAAATCATGGCATCAGGATTGTAGGAAGACTCATTAACAACCTTGTGATATGCAGATAATAGAACCTTGCTTGCTGAAAGTAAAGAGGACTTAAACCATTTACTGATGAAGATCAACGAGCACAGTCTTCGATATAGATTAAATCTCAATGTAAAGAAAGCAAAAATCTTCACCACTGGACCAATAACATTATTATCAACGGAGAAAAGATTGAAGTTGTCAAGGACTTCATTCTTGGATCAACTATCAACATTCAAGGGAGCAGCAGTCAATAAATCAAATGATGTATTGCATTAGGCAAATTTGCTGCACAAGACCTTTTTTGAACAGCACTTAACAACAACAAGGGACTTTTGGCTCCAGTGTACTCAGGTGTCATTAAAAATGCATAGTTCTAACGAAAAATATAGGAACATGATATTCGACACTGAATAAATAATTTTGAATAAATGATTGTTGAATGAAATATTATAAAGTAAATGGAATGAGGTAGGTCAGTGAGTTGGTTGATGTGTTGTTACTGAATCATAGCAACCCTATGCACAGCAGAACGAAACACTGCCTGATTCTGGGCCAACCTCTCTATTGTTGCCACATACGAGTCCACTGATGCTGCCACCGGCCAATCCATCTTGTTGGGGGTCTTACTCTTTTTCTCTGACCCTCCACCTTACCAAACATGATAGCCTTTTCCAGTGACTGGTCTCTCCTGACAATATGTCTGAAGTATGAGAGATTAAGTTTGGCCATCTTGGCCTCCAAGGAGCACTCTGGCTGAACGTCCAACATGGGATCTGCTGGTTCTTTTTGGCAGCCCATGGCACTTTCAGTTAGGCAAATCTGCTACATAAGACATTTTTAAAGTGTTGAAGAGCAAAGACGTTAGCTTGAGGACTAAGGTGCACCTGACTCAAGCCACGGTATTTTCAATAACTTCTTCATATGCATGTGAAAGTTGGACAGTGAATGTGGAAGTCAGTAGAAGAACTGATGTTTTTGAATTATAGTGTTGGAGATTATTGAAAGTGCCATGGGCTGCCAAAAAAACCAACAGATCTGTGTTGGAAGAAGTGCAGCCGGAGTGTTCCATGGAGGCCAGGATGGCCAGACTTCATCTTTCATTCTATGCCCTGTAGTACCTCTGCCCTTGCATACAGTTCTCTATAATTACATCAGCAATGCATGTTCATGATAGAAACTCAAGAAAATTCTGATAAGGTAAATAATATTATTCAGTCTCACCACCCAGCGTTAATGTTGCTGTTAGGTGCGGAACATCGAGGAAGGCTGTGGGAGAGGAGGGGATACTGCGAGGCTTCTCCAGTGTATATTTGAAATACATTCTTCCAAGAACTCTATATTGCGTCTCCTGGCACTTTTTCAATGTACATTTCATAAAACAGTTCCCAAGGATGTTAATAGGAGTTGCCAAGAACAGGGCTCAAGTCCTAAGTTTTGGGAGATGCTGGGATAAGCACTCGATCTCAAGATTGGTTTGAATAGCAAGGTCAGCAGTTCAAACTCACCAGTTTCTCCTCGGAAACCCTATATACGGTTGCTATGATTTGGAACCAACTCAACGGCACTTAACAATATATGCATACATATGGACTCCTGGTGTGGCACTGTTAGGATCAGCACTAGACTATGAACCGCAAGGTCAGCAGTTCAAATCCACCGGTTGCTCCTCGGAAACTCTTTACAGGGTCGATGAGTCAGAATTGACTGGATGGAACTTAAGAACAAATATATACATATGTGTGTGTGTATACTCTTCACAACATAGAATATATTTACTACAGTGAGTTGTAATGAAAGAAACTTGAAAGCCACCACTGAATTAAAGGGATGAATTTATTGGTAAATAGATAAAATTAACACCTATTCCAAAACACTCAAACCCCTTCCTTGTATATATTAGGTATATTAAAAGAAAAAAATCAAAGCAATACAGTTAACTAAATTGATCTCCAACTTACAAATGAGTTCAAATACTGAAAGACTATTTGGCTACCAGGTACTTGGAGTTTTCCTCAAAGAAATAGTTGTTTTTATTAAAGAGAAGAGTTTTCCTAATTCGCTCACAAAAACGAATTTAAACAACATAGCTTAATACACTACTAAAATTACTACCAACTTAAATGTTTGTATGTTGTCCATGGATTTATATCCTGGGGTCCAATATATCTCCAAGGACACATTCTCCCTGCACCCCCACCTTGGTCCCAGCACCAACACTCCTCTCAGTACAGGAAAAGACCCACCTTTCTGCACGGGTTCCCCAACTTGTGCTTAGGATTTAGGAAGAGGGGGAAAAAAAGATCAGAAGTTCTAACAGTTAGGTAGCCGAGGTAGAATATGGGGCTCCCAAGAGCATCTTCCTTAGGCCTCAAGCTGGCTTCCCTCCATTACCATCTCGACCCTGACACAGGTCAGAGATGAGGGCAACATTTGCTGGCTGACAGTTATTCTTTACATCAATCTTTAGGGGAGATTTTTAGCCATGAAGAAACAGAATAATGGTTCACTGTACCTTTTTTAAGTTCCCAACGACTACAAGAGAAACACCACTGGGTCTAATGCTGATAACTTGCTGTGGATAAAATTAATAACTGTTCTTACCATGGGACTACTTTTCTCAAGACTTTAGAGATTCATAAATTCTATTAGCCACAAGTTTCTTGGCACCAAAGGAGACATGTCAGTGCCTACAGACGCAAGACCTGCAGTATCTCATATGAAATATAGGAACTCCAGGTCAAGTAGAGTACTGTTCTAAATCTTAAACTGTCTGCTCTTAGAATGTCTCTTTGGTCACGAGAAGCACACATTCATGGAGAGCTCAGTGCAAGCTGCTCTTGAGAAGCCCCTCAACTACTCCAGTAACCCCCCAACATCCTCCACTTAGGCAGAATACAAATTGCCACCCCTAATAGGATTTATCCAAGATGGAACAACTCTGAATCAAGGGACTGAGTTCGTAGACGGTACACAGTGGTACCAAGTAGGAATCAGGTTTGTACAGTGCTAACCCAGTAAATCTTTGGTCTCTGTGGCTGTGCCAGATGCTGACCCCAATACTCCCTGGCACAGTTGGGGCACTCTGGGGAGAAGAACAGGGGCGGCAGGCAGGCAGGCTTCTGGGTGCAGTTTCAACTGGAGAGAGACTCCACACAATCTAACCAGCTCACTCTAGTCATCACCTAATGACATGGCCTCTGGACTAGCCAGCAAATGGACACAGCACTGTCGGTCCACAGCCCAGGCCCCTGGTCCTGCACCAGGACTGTACAAGTATCAGGAAAACTGCTCACCATAACTACCACCAGTATGCCTCTGTGACCTGCAGTCTGGGCCCTCCAAATGGCAGACAAATCGGTTCAAATCTAACACGTGCCAATATTTTCCAGTTCTACCTCTTACTTTTCTGAATCAGAACAAGTTTGGGAGGTTTAAGCAGGGAAAGGGCTAGAAATCATTTCGACATATACTTTTCAGGTTCTGCCAGACAACCTTTTATTACATCAAAAAAGCAACACTAGGCACTAGGATCTTGCAAGATTATATTCTGACCAACTCTAAATTTTCTGAAATTAAAAATGCCTAAACACATCTGTAAGGTTCTGAATGAACAAAAAAGTTAAAATACAAACTTTCATATACAAAATAGACTACTGTTCAACTGGCAACCTCAGAGCCAAGTATTACATTTTCTCTCACAAATTTCAGTGGGAATGGAGTGGGAAAGTGTTAATCCTAATGAGTACAAAACTTAATTTTGGCTTTATATAGAAAAAAACTTTGAGGAAAAATAGCTTTAAATTGAATAGCATCTTTTGACATAAACATCTCAGACCAGCCCTTACAATTCTGAGGTTGACACTCAGCCAGATCTTAGGTGAAAATGAAGATTTGGGGTTTATAGTTATTTCAAATCCAGTTTTGCAAGGAAGCCAAGCCACCTCATTTCCAGAAAGGAAGTCTCTTTAGGATGAGCAGGACAGTTTTCTAAAGACGCTAGGAGGAGAGCCAGAGTTGCTTTCCACAGTTCCACTTTTCTAAACATAGTGCCGATGCTCTGTCAGGCCGCCTCTCAAAGTCCTAGTCCACAGCACTTCTCCCAGCAGTCTCAGGCCTCAGGAAAGAGAAAGGATCTCCAGCTTCAAGTTGGCAGTTGCTGCTCCAGCGTTAGAGAAATTAATGAACACCTTCTTCCTCCCTGCCACAGATTACACTCATGATCTTTAGCAGGGAGTGGTAGCTTGACTAACTTTACATTCAGAAATAAATACTTTAAACAAGAAACTTAGGGTTATCTATAAAAGAGCAGAGGAAACAGCCACTGCCCATTATGTTTGCAGATCAGTGAGCAAATGAATTTGCATGAACACACACAGAAAAAACAAAACAAAAAACAATTCACAGAATAAATCGGCATTTCCCACATTCATAGGGAAAAAATAAACCTTTCCAAAAAAAAAAAAAAAATTCTTTAGCGTTTGTTCTCAAGTGGGTTGAATAGTGCAGGGCTCTGAGCAGGCACAGCCCTCACAAACAGGGTTGCAAGCGCACACCAAGTCAAGACTAGGGTGTGGCCAGAGGCCTTCCTGCACTTTGACAGCTCAGTACCTATGAGAGAACAGAGGTGATGCAGGGACTTTTGAACCCACAATGCATGAGGTATATGGAACTGTCCGGGAAAGAACCGCCAGCAGCTAGAGGGACAGGCAGGGCATTCTCACAGCAACTGCTGATGAAGGATTTCCCACACCATCTTCTTCCGGAAGAGAGGCATCTGGTGCTGAAAAAAATCCCACAAACACACCGGCATTACACGTGACTGCACACAGCATCACGATCTCCAGGGCAATCATGTAGCCAACTATTTATAGTACCAGCAGTACTCAAGGGCGTGAGCTTTGTGATTCCGTACACAAACAAACAAACAAAAACCTGCTCTGAAAGGGATCACGTTAGGAGGTCCCAGATAGAACGGTAAAAAATATGGACCAAAACTCAAAGTCCTGGTGTGGCTCTGTGGATTAATACGCTGGACAGCAAAATTTGTTTGAACTGCAAGGTCGGCTGTTCAAGCTCATCAGTTGCTCTTTGGAAACCCCTATACATGGTCACTATATGTCGGAACAGACTTGATGGCACTTAACAAAAATCACTTTACTATAAACTAGTAATTGCCTACCTAGGGGAGAATCTAAAAACTTGTAAATTAAATAGTTCAAAACATCTAGTAAAACAATTGTACATTTATTTGTAGTAAAACTGCTTAGATGAGTAACCAATAACCAATGTTAGACTGGAATTGTATCAATTCATATTGAATGGGGTTATGGGTCATACTACTCAATAGTTTGATAGACAATATTCATCAAAATATAAGAATTGCCAAAGAAAATTACTTTTTAAAGGAGATTGTAAAAAAAGCCACAGGGAACCAAAATTAAATGTAACAGAAAGAAAAAACAATACTCAAAGTTATATCTTAGATCTGTGGCTAAGTTCTCACTAGGCTTAATTTCTCCCTTTGTTGTTCTATACCCGATGTGCTTCCTTTTTGGCTAAAAATATCAGTGATAATAGAGGAAACTGTGAACACTGGAGTTCAAAGATATGTAAATTGTGCCACTGGTCACCAGAGACTACCATAAGTTTGATCTTGGTGGGCACAGGACTAGAGTTATAATAATAATAATAGGAGCTCAGCAAACAGTCACTGAAAGTATAATGTATCTCTGGTACTGGCAAAATGTTTTCAGTTGATCTACCTTGGTGCCAGGTAAATAGATGAGACGGGGTCTTCACTCACCTGAGTAAATGTGATAGGTATGTCTCTAGAGATATAATCTGCATATTTACAAGTAAACATTCCACAATCACTCCCATTCAGTTGTTGAGGAATCTCCTAAAATTAAAAAAGAAAAAAAAAGGAGGAAGGGGTGAAACATTATCCCTTTGACTTCTTGTAAATTAGCACTATGAATAAACAATTATCAGAAAGGTAAATGCTGAAATCTGGTATGGCACAAATGCACAGAAACACACGCAAACACAATTAATCTTAGTCTATGTAATATAAAAATCCTAACCAGGACATGGTGTATGTGATCTCATATGAAAATCTTTTTCAGAAGAAAAGAGAAAAATGAGAGTTCCATCTTTTAGCTCTAACACAAAGAAATCAAATTGAAGGAAGGTTTACTACCAAGAATGGAACGATTCATCAGAACTTTCTCAGACACCCTTAAAAATTCTGAAAACAATTACGTGTGGCTCAATAAAAAATATACTTAATACAACCAACCTACCTCACTGTTACAGAGTTTAATTTCCCTGCCCTAGCCACAGCTTCAAGCAGGATAAAGAAGCCTCCTGATAAACTTTAGCCAATTCGGATCTCGCCTTGATTGCTCAGGTCAGCCCAAAGGCTAAAACACAACCTGTTTTAAGTACCACTATTGTTGTTATGTGTCGAGTTGGTTCTGACTCATAGTGACCTTGCATAGGGTTTCCAAGGCTGCAAATCTTTGTGGGAGCAAAAAGACTTATCTTTCTCACGCAGGGCAGCTGGTAGGCTGAAACCACTGACTCTGTGTATGGCAGTCCAATGCTTGTCCATAGAGCCACAGTGTTCCCTAGGACCACTAGGAGCATTGTAAGACAAAGGCAGAAGCTTCCAAACCCACATGAAGACAGCTCATGAGTTCCGCAGTCCTGTGTTGTGTTGCACTATGTTGTGTCATACTAAAGTAACACATTTTGGCTAAGGAACACATTCAAAGTAAGAATATGGAAGAGACTAGAAATCACACTAGATGAAAACTCAATTTTTATTTTTTAAAAAAAAAAAAAGCAAACTGAAGGGTTTTGTGTATTTTTCAGACTTTTCTCAAATCGAAACATAAGAGAACCCAGTAGCCCTCACTGAGTTAATAGGACTATGGAGCTTCTAACACACAAATAAAGAGAATTTGTTTTGTTTTGAACCTCCCAAGATCAGACAAGATTGACAGGTTCAGGGGGGTATGATAGCAGATGAATCTGTTTTCTTGACTATTACATTTCCTGTAACCAGAACACAGTATTCATCCAATTGCCTGTGCTCTGCTCAAGAAATTCCAAAGCTTAACCCTTCTCATTATTCAACTCAAAAACAAACTGCTATCGGGTAAAGACATTGCTGTTGTTAAGTGCCATTGAGTCAGTTCCAATTCATAGTGACCCTGTATAGGGTTTCTGACGTTTTAAATCTTCAATGGATGAAATGATATACGATAGGATGAACATAAAGCTAATGTTCTCCCATGTAAACTATCACATAATTCATAATACAACATAAAAAAAAAAAAAATCTTCAATGAAGCAGAAAGCCTCATCTTTCTCCCATGTAGCAGTTGGCAGGCTTGAACCATGAACCTTGTAATTTGTAATCCAGTGCTTCTGAGCTATTATACAATTCAGGGCTAGAGCTGAATTCATGTAGCTTAAAATGGAAACCTTTAGGATTCAAACTCTGAAATTCATATACAGCAAGATACAGAGTACATTCAACATAGCAAGTATACCTGACTCTTGGTGATGCACAGACATGGAGTCCTTAAGATTGAAATAAATAAAATTTCCATATACAAATTTTGGACAAGAGTTTTAAACTTTTATTAGCACCATTTGAGACAAGTAATTGACTTAAGTTCTCCTCCCCCCTCCCCTTCTTTAATTCTATGAGACAGGTGCTGTTGTTGCTTGTTATATGCTGTCGAATCAGTTCTGACCCATAGCGACCCTGTATAGAGTTTCCAAGTAGTGGCTGGTGAGCTTGAACTGCTGACTTTGCGGTTCAAACTGACAATGCAGTCCAGCATATTAATCCACAGTGCCACACCAGGGCAGTGTATTGGAACAAGAAGATAAAAGGAGATAAAAGGTGAGACGTAACCACCCCCAGTAACCACCCCCACCACCTACTGCTGCTGTCAATTCCGACTCACAGTGACCCAGTGGCACAGACGAGAACTGCTCCTGAGGGTTTCCGAGGTTGTAATGCTTTTTCTTAACTTTATTTTGAATTGAGTGAAGGTTTACAGAGCAAATTCATCAGAATTACGTTCAACAATTCATATACTTTGCTTCATTACATTGGTGCAATCTCCTCCATGTACAGTGAACAGCATTTACCTCCACTCACTGTAACTACTGCATTCCTCCCAGTGTGTCTTGCTACTTTCATCTTTCCTCTGTTAACCTCCCTCTTGTCCTACACATTGACTGTCCTGTCCACCCAGGTTAACAAGTGCCTACCCTCTAGTCCTGGAGTCCTAGCATGGCATTGTAGGATAAGCACTAGACCGAAAGGTTGGTTTGAACTGCAAGGTGAGTGGTTCAAATCTGCCAGCTGCTCCTCGGAAACCATTATACAGTGTCGCTATGATTTGGAACCAACTCGACAGCACTCACCACCACCCTCTAGTCCAGGGGTGGGAAACATCCAGCCAACATGCCATAGGTTGCTGTTATTGTTAAGTGCTGTCGAATCTGTTCTGACTCACAGCAACCCTGTATAGTGTTCCCAAGGGGCAGCTAGTAAGCTTGACCTGCCGAGCTTGTGCTTCAAACCGTCCTTGAAGTACAGTGCATTAACTCACAGTGCCACATCATGACTCTGTGGACCATATAAGGTCCTCAAAATCATTTGGTCTGCTCCTACCAAGACAGGCACAGTTCCAGCCATCACATTTGTTGTTAAATGCCATCTAGTCAGTTTTGACTCACAGCGACCCTGTCTAGGGTTTCCAAGGAGCAGCTGGTGAGTTTAAATTGCCCATCTTGTGACTGACCTCGCGGTCCAGTGTTTATCCTAGAGAGTCACACCAGGACTCCAGCCATCACATTTAATTAATTCACCCCTAAAGCCATCACACTGTTGTGTGGTAAGTGCCTAGACAAGTTGGTTTATAGTGATCCTCACACTGGCCTTGTTGTCCAGAGCATTATCCGACAGTGTTTGACCCAATCTAACAGGATAAATTTTAAGTTGATAATTTTGTATGGCCTGTGAATGATGTTAAAAATTTTGGCAGAAAAATATTCCCTACTCCTGCTCTAGCCCATGAATAATGTTCCCTCTCCCCATCACAGATGGTTTCTTTTATCAAGAAAACCTCTTTTTAAACTTTTACAACATTGGTCTTATACAATGTTTGTCCTTTTGAGATTAACTTATTTCACTCAGTATAATGTCCTCCAGTTTCAACCATGTTGTAAGTTATTTCACAGATTCATCATTACTCTTCAACATTTTTTAGTATTCTGTTGTGTGGATGAACCAAAATTTCTTTCACCATTCTTCTGTTGATGGGCATTTAGGCCGTCTCCATCTTTTTGATATGTCTCTTGAAGATAGTATATTGAAGGATCCTACTTCTTATCTATTCTGTTCTTTATGTCTCTTGACTGGCATATTTAATCCATTTGCATTCAGTGTAATAGATATGAATTGATTGTCATTTTTCTGTGTGTGTGTTTTTTTGTGGTGCAGCTAGATTCTTTGTTCCATATAATTTTCTACATAAATTCATTGTTTGTGGATTTTCTTTTCATTTTCGCTTCTGTTGTGTTGATGTTTACTAAATCTTTCTGATTTTCCTTTTTTTTCTTGGAAGTTCTGTATCTACACTATTCCTTCTTTTTGCTGAGTTCTTGACATTATACATTGTTCCTTATACATTGTTATCTCTCTATTTCATTCTTGTAGGTTTATCTTACTTTAAATACTTCTATATCTGGATTCAGTTCTGGGTGGTGTTGTCATGTATACTGATCTCAGGCTGTTGTCTGCTATTATTGTTTCTTAGTCCAAAGAACACCCTTTAGCATTTTTTTGTAAAATTGGCCTGATCATTACAAATTTCTTTCATTTCTGTTTATCAGGATATGTCCTAATTTCTCAGTCCTATCTGAGGGCCAGATTTACTGGGTATATGATTTTTGGTTAGCAATGTTTTTCTTTCAGAGTTTTGCATATGTCATCCCATTGTCTTCTTGCCTGCATGGTTTCTGCTGAGAAATCAGAGCTTAGTCTTATTGATTCTCCTTTTTAGGTAACTTTTTGTTTATCCTGAGCTGCTCTCAACATTTTTTCCTTGTCTTTGATTTTGAATAGTTTGATTATGATATAGCTTGGTGATTTTCTTTGAGGATCTACCTGTTTGGGGTATGTTCAATCTATTATATGCGCTTATCTTCTCATCTTTCATATTAGAAAAGCTTTCTTCGAACAAATTTTCAACAATTTTCTCTGTGCTTGTCTCTTCCTGTTCAGGAATTCTAATCACTCGTAAGTTGCTCCTCTCTAGGGTGTCTCACATAACACTAAGGCTGTCTTTGGATTTTTCACTCTTTTTTCTGATTGTTGTTCTAGCATACTACTATTGAGAGGTTTATCTTCAATCACTAACTCAGGCCTCCATGGCTTCAATTCTACCTCTTTGCCCTTTCCGTGTATTGTTCATTTCTTAGATCTTAGTATTAATCCTCTGGACTTCTAATTGCAGGCTTAAAACTGTTTCAAAACTTGCATTTATTGTGTCTGCTTGTTCTTGTAATGTTTTCCTGAATTTTTCTAGAATTTTTCTTGTGTTCTCCTTATTTTCCTCAATCTATCAGTCCTTTGAAGGTACCTAATTAACATTCTTTTAAATTCTTTTTCAGTTAGTTTTATTAACTTTTCTTCTTCAAAAATGTTTTCTGGTTCTGCATGTTGTTCATTTGTTTGAGCCAGTCTCTCGTTTCTTTGTGTGAGCTAAAATTGTCTGTTGTCTCCAGGGTATTTTGAGGTTGTTGTATTTGTAAAAACAAAAGTTCAGTTGTTGGAATCAGAGGGTAGAAATCTCTGGTGGGCTCCTGAAATTTAAGGAGTTCACAAAATGGATGTGGGAGGGATGTGACTGCAAAGTTCCTGGGCCTAAATGGAGATCCTACTGGCCTCGGTGTTATCTCTGTTCAGGTCACTCAATCTGGAAGTAGTTCATGGGGGTACCTGATGGAGGTGGTTTCAGTGTCTGTTAGGACCATAGGGAAGATGGGGGCAGGGTCACTGTTTAAATGCAAGTCTGGTGGCTCTGTGGGTTCTGTAGGTCTGGGTCTGAGCCCACCTGAATCCAAGCACCAGAGTGGCACACCAAAGCGGTGCAGCCAGCCCCCAACTAACATTGGAGTGGCTCCCAACCACATGGCTCTGAACTCAGGGAGAGGAGGGTCTGCACTGGGGATGGATAAGGGTGGGAGCTGACCATACCTCTGGTTAGCAGGGGAACCCATGCATCACTCACGGGAATCTGCTCTACCAGGCCTCCTTCTACTGTCAAAGTTGCTCACAAGATGGTGGAGCTAAGTCTGGCCAGCCATTCACCAGTCTCTCTCTCTCACTGTCCCTGCTTAGCCTCTCCTCCAAGCAAACACTCCATCTACCTCTCTAACCTTTCTTCTGATGTTTAGGACAGAATTTCCATCTGTGTCTGTTTTATTTGGCCTCTCATCTATGTTGTTAGAGCGTCTGTATGTAGTGTGTCTTCCCAGTCCGCCATCTTATCGTAAGTTCCAAGACAGTAATTCTTGACAGAAGCAGACTGCCTCATCTTTTCTCAAGGAGAGGTTGGTGGATTTCAACCATGAGACTTTTGGTTAGCAGCCAAATGTTTAACCCACAGCATCACCAGAACTTAAGAAGCCATTATCTTGGTTAAATTAACTGCTAAATATTTAGAGGCAGGATCATTCTTAAAATGTCCATTTTAAGAAAATGCATGCCTGAGGAGTGAGTGAGGAGAGGAAGAAATCTTGACTTAACAACCTGACACGTTAGGTAAAGGCAACAAAACATTTCAAATATAGATAATCTTCACTTACGTGTGGCTTCAAGCTGTAGTGGGTCCATTCTAAAAGATTCAGGTCAATATTTCTTTTGGTCTTACTTTCATCCTGTAAATACTGACTGGAAAAAACAACAGAGAAGGAACATATCCATGAATCCCTATGGAAACATAGTTCTAGGATGACAAAGGGCTTTATGATGTTTCAAAGTCAGGCCTTTCCCAAATCTATCTCCATTAGTACTTTTCAAATGTAATGACTTTTTTGGTATTTACATTTTTTTTTTTCTGTTAGAAAAATTGTACATGCTTGTTTTTAAAAGTTTAAACATAAAATAACATTAAAAGCACACAACCCCTGTAATATCTAATCCAGACGTCACTACTAATAGTTTGCTGTGTAAGTCTCTACTCTACCTCCAAACACACAATAAAAAATACTTATTTTATCTTAAAAGTAGGTTCATTCTTTATGTTTCATTTTACAACTTCTTTATGTTTCATTTTACAACTTGCTTTCTTTCATTTAAAACAGATATAACATGGGTGAAAAAAGAAAAAAAATTCATTGCCATGAAAAACAAGATATGAGTGAAGGCAGAAGGCCTGTCATAAATTAAAGGAGATCAAAGAGACATTAAGTCTATGAAATTTGAATGGCACCCAGGCTGGGGTGGGAAAGGGGAAGCTACGTGGGAAACAAATGAGGATATTATAGAATATGGACTGTTTGTTTCATGATACTAAAAAAAAATCCAAACCAGTTGCTACAGGGTTGATTCCAGCTCACGGTGTGTCAACAGGGTAAAATTGTGCTTCAGTTTTCAGTGACTGCATTTTTGGAAGTAGATGCCCAGTCTTTCTTCTGAGGCACCTCTAGATGGATTCACACCACCAACTTTTTGGTTAGTAGCTAAGAGCATAACTGTGCCACCCAGGACTCCTACATGATATTACTGACTCTTCATTGTGTTAGTGTGATAACAGCACTGTAGTTATCTAACGGAATTTCTCTAGTCTTAGGAAACGTGCACTAAAGTATTATGAGTAATTAATTAATTCCATCCTAACCTACATGTAAAGTAGGCCAATGTTAAACCATGGCATACACTGCAAAAGGGGATAATATCACCAACCAGAGGATGAAAACTGGTTCTTGGGGGACAAAAAATCTTGGATATTGCCATGGTTGGTGGCCCTTCATAGTTTAACACTACCCAACAAAGTCTTACTTCTTACTATTTAATTTCTTATGTTAGGAAGAAATTATTCTACTTGGGAAAGAGGGGTAATAATGAAAAAAAGATTGAGCGACACTAGACAAGGGACATCAGGAAAGGGAGTGGGCATTCTACAATACCCACAGGAGCTAACACATTTCATATTTAAATACATACTAGGTCATAAATAGCTATTAAAACTTGTGATTCTAAAATGAACAGTTCTATGCACTTTATAAAAAATTTGGCATATCTTACAACTTTTCAGTTTTCTTCTCTATACTTTCTTTTTCAAGTAAACAGATATAAGCAAAAATGCTCTTTTCCACTAAAATAATACTGAAAAAAAAAAAAAAGATAGATGGAAGCGAACTGAACTAATTATTGGTAATAGCAACTTTTTGTCATAATGTTTATTTCACAAATTCATTTATCCCAACTAAATTGCAACACAAGAACCTGCATTTGCTTCCCGTGAGGAGAGTCCACATGGACTCATCTTACTGATCTGCTTCATCATCATCATCAAATTCATGTCACCACTTTACGAAGCAAATCACTGGCTTGGCTTTAAAATCAGTTTTCTAGCAATTACTACTTGAAATAACTGTCCACAAACCATACAATCTAATTCATTAATTGGTCCCCCCACCCCCATAAAAGACTACGATCCAATCAAGCTTTTGAGGGTTAGATACATGATAGATGATTGAATGAGGGCACAATGATGCAACAGTGAAGTTCAAAAGGATTTACTTACAGGAGAATCTCGCAGATCCTGTGGCCCTTTTGTCCCATAGAATCCAAATATTTAAGACACTTTTTTCTTAGGTCTATTACCTATAGGTGAAGAATGCAACATCATCTAGTTAAGAAACCTCAACTACAGTAGGAATCAAAAATTCATTTCTAAAAAGAAAAACATCTCTTAAAAAAACCTCAGTAAACATCAAGGGAGAAGAGCACAAGCAGAATGCGGGACCTTATCCAGAGAAGCAGCAACACCAGAGATGGAGGCAGGGATGGGGACAGGGAGAAGGGAGCAGCTGAGGACTCCCGACTCAAGAGAAGAGAGGGACTAAGAGATAGTGGCCCGGAGGCAGACTTGCAGAATGCACCCTTTGGTGGTGCAAATTATTAAATATGTTTGAGTGTTTAAAAAAAAGAGCTAAAGTGAATAGAGAGAAATACTGTTAACTGATGATACATGGAGTGGATTATCATTGTAATGAAACAAGATGTATGATTGGTTGAATGTAAAACTGATGCTCTACCCTGCAAACTTTCACTCAATCCACACAAAAACCTTTAAAAAAAAAAACCCCAAAAAACTCAATAGACATATCAATATGAATAGATTTCTAAGAAATTTTTGTTAAAAAGAAGAAAAAAAAAAAGTTACAAAACATCATTGTTGTCGTCGTTAGGTGCCATCGAGTCGGTACCGACTAACAGCGACCTTACGCAGAACGAAACACTGCCCGATCCTAGGCCAACCTCACTAATGTTGCCACGCATGAGTCCATCGATGCTGCCACTTGGCCAATCCATCTCGCTGGGGGTCTTCCTCTTTTTCTCTGACCTCATACAAAATTCTATTTTTCCATCATTAGAGAAACGTCTGGAAAATTATTCATCAAAGCATTAACTGTCTTGTCAGGGTGTCATGATTTTTATTTTTAGCTTTCTTTTTAGCTTTACTTTTCTACAATAAACCTGTATCATCTTATAAACAAAACTAAATAAATAATCTTTATGTGTACTAAAACTTTCCTCTTAAGAATGAAAGCTCCTCAAGTACAGGGATTCAGTCTTCTAATTTCCTAAATTGTTCCACTCAGGAACTAAGAAGGGAATCTGTCTGCCCCTAACATATACTGCTGGCCTTTCACTGACACATAAGGGTAGCTTTTTGTTTTTGTTAAGTGCCGTCGAATAGGTTCTGACTCATAGTGACCCTTCATAGGGTTTGAACTACCCCCATTATGGTTAGCAGTCCAGTGTTTATCTTACTGGGCCACACCAGGATTCTGAGGGTAGCTTAGCCTTCATCAGATAAGAAAATAATTTTTAGTCAAATTCCAACAATTAGCTCTTGTGACTCACCACCAGACTCCAGTGTACCTTCCGATGAATAGGCACCAGAATAAGCTCTTGTTCAAAGAGATTTACCCCTTTGGTCCATCTTTTCACTGCTTGGTAGCCCCCAGACCATAATTTAGGATAGAAGAAAGTACTAAATGCATGAACTGCGGGGTAGCCTTGCTTTTTATTTCTTTCCACCAGAAGATTCATGTAAAAATTAATGACCTGTAAAACACCAAGAAAATAAAAAGTCAAAATATGGCAAGTAAATTAATGAAAATGAGAGGGTAAGTCAAAAAGTCTTACTAAAATATCATTATCCACTCACAGCTACCAAGTTAACTGTAACTCAGAGCGACACAGAAATGGTTTCTTAAGATTGCTACACTTTACAGAAGCAGAAAGCCTCATCTTTTTCCTGCAGACTGGCTGGGGGTTTGAACCACCAACCTTCGACCTATGGTTAGCAGTCCAGTGCTTACCATAAAATCACAGAAAACTGTATTAAACAAAAATATCAAAATGTGAAGCTATTGTTTCTTAAAATGTCCTTCATCTAGTTCTTCTATATACTTCGGAAGGTGGGGTTTCATCTCTCTAACCCTTCCCTGAAGAATTCTGCACTTTGACTTACACCAAAAATGGCAGTTTGGGCATCCTTGAGGAAGATTCAAATAGGGTTCCTTTGGGAACAAAAAGAAATCTAAAGAAGCAAGATCAGGGCTGCAGGTGAATGGGGTAAGGTATCCTAAAGAAATTCTTGTAGGACAGCTCTTGATAGCCTTGAAGAATGGGTATATGCATTGCCATGATGGAACACCCGTCCTTGGTACAAGTTTCCTAGACTTATTCTCACCAATGCAGTTTTCAATTTTCTTAATATAGTGTCCTTTGAGAAATCTATTAAGATTACCTTTTTGGAATCCAAAAAAAACAGTCTGACCTGACATCTCTGCCTTGAATTTAACTGGTCCAGCAAATGTCCTAAGAAACCACTGTTTTAACTGGACCTCTTTTTGAAGGCACCCTAATGGGACTAGACCACTGTATTATTGAGAGAACTTATCTGTAGCTATCCAATCATCACAGAGACATTTTTAAACAGGTTTTATTTGGAATAAACTCATGCAGCAATACTTTTTGACTCACTCTTGCAAATATCCACTTGTTAGGTTGAATTAGAAGGTATAAAGTTTAAGAAACAGAAGGCACCAAACAGAAGGATAAAAGGACTGTGTATGGCAAAAGATGAAAAAAAGGCACAATTAATGAAAAATTTGTTGTTGTTAAGTGCCATTGAGACTGTTCCACTTCATAACAACCTTTAATAGGGTTTCCAAGGAATGGCTGGTAGGTTTGAACTGCTGACCCATGGTTAAGCAGTTCAAGGGCTTATGCTATAGCACAAGACAGGATGAAATAATACTTTTAAGGCCTAAGAAGGTCAGGAGACGGATCCCAAAGAGAACATGTGTGAAATACTGAAAAGAGCTATGAAGCTGCATCTAGTCAGTACACAAGGAATATGCATTGACAGTACTGGAAGTAAATTTCACCATGTAAACTATACCTGTTTTAAAAAATTAAATGGAAGGAAATATATCAAAACATTAATATTATATTTGAATGATGGTACTTTATGATAAATTTAAACAGTATTTGTGATATTAACTGTCTTTTTTACTTTCTCTTATTTTCTGAATCTGCAATAAAAAACTGAGGGGATGTCAAAAAGTTCTTGGAAAAATGGAAATGAAAGATAATGGAATTTTTTCACAAACTTTTTGAATCTCCCTCGTATATTCCATTTGTAACATGAAACAAAATATTCAATAGGTTTTAGTCATGGATACTGGAGCCTGGATGGAGCATGCTGTTTGCAGTAAGCAGCTAACCAAGATGTTGGCAATTTGAACTCACCTAGCAGGAGGGACCAGTCGCTGGTGAAAGATATCATGTTTGGTAAGATGGAGGGTTAGAGAAAAAGAGGAAGAACCCCAACGAGATGGATAGGCCAAGTGGCAGCATCGTTGGACTCAACTGTGTCAACAGTAGTGAGGTTGACCTAGGATCAGGCAGTGTTTTGTTCTGCTGTACATAAGGTCGCTGTGAGTCGGTACCAACTCGATGGCATCTAACAACAAAGCAGTGGCTCCACAGAAGAAAGGTCTATTAAACTGCTTATATAAAGGTTACAACCAAACCAAACTTTTTAGAACAGATCTAAAAAGGCAAAGGAAAAAAAATACAGGAACTAATAAGCAGGTAAGGAAGGACCAACTGGGGAAAAGGCAAAAAGAACTACGAGATACTAGATCATAGATACTTGTTATTTAGGGGTGGGGTGGGAAAATGAGCAACAAATGTGGGTATGGCGAGCAAAGAAAGACCAAAGTTAAGTGATGTTAGCACTCGGAAGAAAGGATGCCTGTACTAAAGAATGTGGCATATATAAGAGAGCAATAGTTTCAACAAAGGTCAAAAAATGAGTCTAGGATCACATATGAATGGGTGTAAGCACATACACAGGTAGGTTCACATATATACATGTGTAAATATAGACATTCATTGAAGATACTATGACAGATACTCCACAGACATAACCAAACACCTTCTAAAACTGGTTTTGTGGTTTTGAAAGTTTAGGAGTATAGGCTCATGAAGAAGCCAGTCAACTGACACAATATAGTTCACAAATTTTATGTTCTGAGCTCTGGTAGTGTAGTGGTTACGAATCGGGCTGCCAACCTCAAGGCCAGCAGTTCGAAACTACCAGCGGTTCCGCAGGAGAAAGATGAGGCATTCTGCTCCCGTAAAGATTTACAGCCTTGGAAACCCTGTGCAGGGTCACTATGAGTTGGAGCCGACTCCACAGTACTTAACAACAACAACAACAACGCTACAGAAGGCAGCAGTGTCTGAGGTCTTAAAGACTTGTGAGTAGACATCTGAGATAAAATTATTGGCTGTATTGTATTAGAGAAGAACCAAGCCTACAAGGCTGATAGCCTACGTGAGCCATTACCCCTCAACCACACAAGGACTAGGTGGGACCTGGCTACTGCTACTGACCAATCAGCCTGGGGTCAAATTAGATGATCCTGGTTAGAATGGAAGAATATGCAGAACAAAACTCAAATTCTTAAAAAAAAAAAAAAAAAAAAAAAAGGGGGGGGGCAGACTAGTTGAACCAGGATTCCAAGACTAGCACCCAGAGATAATTCTAAAACTTTGAACCAAAAACTATCTCCCGAAATCACTTTTTAGCAGAAAAGCAGAGTGATGCAGCAAAATAAAAGGTATTCCCCAGTAGATATGATTAGACTGGTGCTCTACTAAAACCCATTTATATGTAAGTCCAAAAAGTCAATATTTAATCCATACCAAGATGAGACAAAAAGAGGGCAGAGATGGATTGTATTGGAAATGGAACAACCAGGACACAATTAAGAAAATGCTGACACATATGAAGAATATAATTAATGCCATTTATCAATTTGTGTGGAAACTGTAAAATGGAAGCCTAACTTCTTGTATGAACTTTCACAAAAAATATTACCTCCACATCCCAAAAAAGACTAAGGGCTAGCTTCTGTTAAATATATAAGGACAAGATGACAAATTAAGTAAATATTAGCAGTTTTCATTCAAATGAAATGAAGAAAAAAGACATACAGCATACATAATGTTGTTGTTAAATGCCACTGAGTTGGTTCTGACTCACAGTGACCCTGTATAGGGTTTCTGAGGAACAGCTGATGGGTTTGAACTACCAGACCTGCAGTTACTAGTTGAGTGCATATGCTACCACACCACACCAGCAATCGAGATATCCTTTTATTAATGAAAAAAAGTAAAATGGCTCCTGTAAGCATTCATCTAAAATTAAGTATCATCTGCTGTTTCCATTGATTACATGCACCCAGGACTCCTGGTGTGGTACTGCAGGATCGGCGCTAGATTGGAAACCACAAAGTCAAATAGCTCAAGCCCATCAAGAGCTCCTCAGAAACCCTCTAAGTCAGAACTGACTCAATGGCACTGAACAGCAACAGAGTTTATAAGAACACCAGCGATGACCAATATATGAAGTGGTAGATGAAACCAAGCACAGATGAATAGGAGGGAATTATTGATAAAGGTAGCAGACAATAAAAACTAAACACTGTTTTTTGTGTTTAGGTGTTTTAGTTTTAAATTAAGCAAAAAGTTGCTTTACCAACACCTTATAAATAGGTAAAAATGCAGTAAATAGTTAAAACATCATGGCAGTCAAAGAGTAAACAACTTACTTCATCATTGAGCCAGTGATAGTTCTTCAAGGTCTGGATATCACCACGGGTAATTCTCAGTTTGAAAGCACTACTCAGGATCTCATCTTGAGAGCCATGGCCTATTGCATTGCTGATTTCTTTTTCCATTTCCTGAATGAGAAAATCCAGAGATTGCTAACTTAATACAGAATCCAACTTAATACTTAATACCAAATGTGAACAAACTGAAAAAAGCTCTTCATTCATATAACACCTGACCTTTGAGAAAGATATTATCTAAGACCTATCTGGTAGTGTAGTGGTTACGAATCAGGCTGCGAACCCTAAGGTCAGCAGTTCAAAACTACCAGCCACTCCACGGGAGAAAGAGGTTTTCTGCTCCCATAAAGATTTACTGCCTCGGAAACCCTGTACAGGGTCGCTATGGGTCGGAACCGACTCAACAGCACGTAACAACATATGAAAATATTTAAACTTGGATTACTAAGCAGTCTTAAAAAACACAATACGGTGACTGGCTTACAAGCTTTCAAGAGGGAACCTAGAGCTAGGGGGCATGGAGGAAGGCAGACTCTCCAGTGAGTACTATCCAATCTGTCTAGGCGGAGCTGATGAAATGAAATGCAGAAGGGTCACTTGTGATACAATAGTGAATGATTGTTATCAGGACTGATTGTGAGGCTAGAAATATAAAGGTAAAAGTTTGTTAGCAAGGAAGGGAGTTATTAACTCTCCAGTCTAGGAGCGGAGGTCTCTGGGACCATCAACGGAGAAGAGCTGAGAGTGGGACCCTACCCAGAGAAGCAGCAAGGCCCGAGATAGAGGCAGAGACGATGACGTGGAGTGAT